TTCCCCAATTGTCGGTCAGTACCAATCACAGCTCCCTGCTGGTTCCCTCCGAGTACTCCAGCCAACATTCCCAATGCTTCAGCAATAGCATCATCGTTTCTTTCGTTACCTCTTCCGGCCATTGTTCCGTAACATTACAAAACAACCTCATCAGCACACAAGTATCGACAGTGTCATCTTACACTAGTCGCATACAAAAGGGATAACAACACAAGACAAGACCGACTATGCCTTGATACCACTATTGTAACACCCCTTCTAAAATACCCCGAATAATATTAATTATATCAATGATTAAAGACATATTCCATCAGAGTTAACACGGAACAAGGGATGTCACAATTATGAAATAAATAAAACTTCCAATAAAACAGTAGTCATACTACACTGAGGGTCATTATTCAAATAATTCAATCAAATTAAGACCATGTCTTACACAGCGGAAAAATACCATAACCAAAACGGAATAAACCAAAACATAATTATTCCCAATGAAATTCAAAGAAACAATTGAATAATAACTAATTCCTCAACTAAACGTTCCCCAGTGTTACAACCTATCAGAGCACGACACTGACACGCGGACTTAAAGTAACATAGCTCTAGAGCCATCCTCACCAACTCCTGAGCTGCTAACTTTAATCTGAAATTGTTAAATTAAGGGTGAGATTTCTCATAATTAACATGCATTATAAGCTTCTCAATCAACATTATATCACAAGCATATTATTTCACCCATTTTAGCATAAATTCAGATTCAACACGCAGTTCCAATCATACAAGTCATTATGCACAAATCAATAATCAACCAAAGAATTGTAACACTGGAAGACATCCTAACATGTTACAATTCCATGCAAACACAAATGCAGACACAATGCATGTGGTACCAACACGTGACCAAGTCACCCAACACTGATCCATCATCAACCGGATACAGCAACCATCAATTCGTCTATAAACACCCGGACACGAATCCAGCCTAACCACCCATCATCACCCGGGTATCGGTTAACAGCAATACAAGTCAAATTCCATACAATGGGAATTAACTTCACCAAAACAATGCATATGCACGCACATCACTAGCATGCAACATCAAATCAGTCTATGAAATACATCAATTTATCATAACTGAACCAAAACCAAAAACATGATATCTCAATGATCATGCACACCATCATTAGCAACATAAACATGCCTTTCATTCACACAATACTAATACATCCATCCATCACGGGTTCACTGCTACATACACACCCATATGCGTTAGCCAATAATCACTTATTCCGGGATTTGACTCATTTTCAAAATAATTTCAGGTTTTAGGAAATCTTTTCATTTTATAAAATAGAGCATTAAATTTAAGAAATAACGTCCAAAACGGCACTCAAAACGGACTTACAGTTTGAAAGTTATGAATTTTCAAAGTTTAATATTTTTCAAAAAGTTACAGCAGAACCCGGTTCCTACATATGCAGGAACCGGTTCCTGCGAAGTTCAAAAATCACGCTTCTGGAAAAATGTATGGGAACCCGGTTCCTACCTATACAGGAACCGGTTCCTACGTGCATTTCTGCCAGTTTTTATAAATTCACACAGTGGAACCCGGTTCCTCCCCACTGGGAATCGGTTCCCACGACCTGCAGAGTCAAATTCTGCACTTTTGACAATATTTATTCATTCTAAACCAATTCCAAACATACCCATACGAATTGCAACATGAGAAACACCAAAACACATCCATTTTGCACCATTATAACATCAAACAACATTATTTCATCATTCCTTTTTATCATCTGACACCCTAATGGTTTTCAACCTATAATTCGACGCAATAGGGATAATTCTACGGAACCCTAGAATTTCAAATCGGGGTTCCCTAACATACTATGATCCATACTATTGAATATCTAAATCGATAATACGAATTAACTAATCGAAATCACCCCTTACCTTGTGGGTTCTTCGAATTCTGACGCTTCCGGTTTTCTCCTTCTTTTTCCTCTTCTCAAATGCACGTATGATGAATATTCAAAAATAACTCTCTTTCCCTTCTTTTTTCCTTTTAATACTCCTTTTATTATTCCAATAAAATAATTAAATTAGTAATTAGTAAGAGTAGAGTATTTTACCCCTCACACCCTCTAATCACTCTTCACACCACCAATACTTCTTTCCTTTAATTAATTAAATTAATTCCAATAATCCAAAAATACCAATAATTAAATTTCCAATTAAATTAATAATTAAAAATTCTAATTATTTAATAATCGGATTATTTGGGGTGTCACAAGGGCCACTCAGGTCAGATCATCAAGAGATATTAGAGGAGTAGCAAGCTACGATAGATCATGTTGTTGATGTGTTACCGACATGTGGCTATTTACAAAACATGTATAGAGAGATGAGAGTTTTAGGAAGACACTCTTAAGACAGCCGCTGTAGAAGTCATGATAGCCGAGACAGGAAATATCTTGTAGTACCGGAGGCAGGAGGAATCAGGGAGTTAGATATGCCCAATAATTAACTTATTTTTTGTATTTTGATAATTTGTATTTTAGTTTATATTTTATGAATAATGTATAATTTTCATTTTGACTTAATATATAATTTTTTAATTGGGTTACATAAATGTATGATTTAATTGTATAACAATTATGTATATTTTGTATAAATATTCAAAATGGTATACTTTATATAAATGGTATTTTGGCTTAATATAATTGTATATTGATTGAAACTTATTGTCCTAAGATTAATACGAAATTTAACTTCCGTAATATTCACTGAGTAGTAAAATAAATATATTAATATATGGAGGTTAGTCTGAAACGTAACTTATGAGTTCACTCTTTTATAATATGGAGGTTAACTTTCATTCTATTTCTTGCTAAAATAAAGGTAACTTTTGTAATATTTTAATTGACATTTTTAGATTTTTTAAGGATGGTTCTTCACCATTAAGGATAGAGAGAGCAATTCTCTTGATTTTAAATAGTTTGGACCACTAACCGGGCCATGTTTTTAAAGTTCGTTAACATATTTGACAATTTTAACTTAAAAATGACATTGTTTATGCTCATTTAACGTACCGCATTTTAAAATTTCTATATTATATTTTTTCTAGTGCATTACACGAAATTATAAAAATATTTTTGGAAATTAAAAATATATTTTCAAAATGTATTAAAATTTAATAAAATATAAGCTGAAATCAGAATTTAATTTCTGGTTTGTATCGACTTATATTTCTTATTTTGTGCTACACATAAAAGCAAAAAAAATTAGGAGTGTTCGCAGTGCGGTTTGGACGATTTTGAAGCAAAAATCATCGAACCGCAAGAGAAAAAAACTTACGGTTCCATTTAATTCGGTTGACTTTTAAAAATAAATTTAAACCAAACCAAATCAAATTAATGCGGTTTAAATTAGTTCGATTGGTTTGATTTTTTACAAAAAAAAATTATTAAGCCATACATACACATATAGAGGAAAATATAATTTTTGTTTAATTGTTCATGCACTACCATAAAAAAATTTAAAAATTGTCAAAATAAATTTATAATTTAATACATAAAATTATGTATTATAATTTTATCTAAATCTAAAGAATGATACAGACAAGATTGCATTCTTAAATAAATATTATACAAAAAATATTATTTATAAATGAATAATATTTTATTTTTTTATAATTTATAAATTAAAATAAATATCATATAAAATATGATAAAATATACACATAACACATAAAATATACACATAATACATGTTGGTGTCTCTAAAGAATTAAAAAAATATATATCAGTTAGTAAGATTTTATAACATAATACAGTTTGTTTGATTTGGTTCGGTTTAGAAAATACAAACCGCAAATCAAATCAAACTGCGTTGTTCTGTTAGAAAATAACTCAAACACATACTAACCAAATATGGTATTTTACAGTTTCGATTTAGTTCGATTCGATTTTTTATTAGATTTTAAACATCTCTAAAAAAACCGCATTTAATCCGTTTATGTGTGATGCATAATGGTATCGAAAATATATTTCCGATTTTAAAAAATATTTTAAGAATTACGTTTTTTTTTTTTCAGTGTAAGATGGAAAGAGAAATTCTCTTAAAATTTAACTAAAAAGTAGAGATTGTTTGGGTAAAACATAAACTTTAACATTTAGACCTTATATTTTATTCCATACCTAACATTTATAATACGATTTAAAATAGGACAAAATATTATCTTCTCATAAACTTAATAATATTAACTTTTTAATCACTTCTTTCATTTTCACACTATTTAGACTTAACAAGTTTTTAACCAGTTCATTATTTTTATTTAGAGGAGTCAAATTTCTTTTTAACATATTTAAGGTTATTATTATAACAAGAAAGCATTTTTATAAAACAAAATTTGATAAATGTTATTGTACGAGAGAACTACTAGATGACAAACATTAAATTTAATCATTTTATAAGTAAGCTTGTGGTTGTAGATTAGTTTTGTAGGCACTAAGAAATGGTAAATGTACCATGCATCCAGTAGCATACAATTTATAACGTAAAAATGGCACTAAACAAATCTCCCATGCGAGACCTAAGCAAAATTAACGTCTGCAACACCTATGACACAAGCTGCATAATGACTTTCTTTAGGTCTACTTCCAGACTTTTCAGAACTTGCCTGCAAAAACAATTCTTACTTTCATACTGATTTGGAAATATTACTAAAAGTTGATTTGTAAACTTAAACACTAACCAACCACTTTTACATGAAAGCAATATTTAAATATAAAGAGATTATGAAGAATAAATACTTACACTAACTAATACAAAATGTTGTCAAATAATGCTCTGAAACATGGTTACTAGGCGGAAATTTAGTGAAACACTGTTTTTATGGTCTGGAATTGACAACAATGTACCAAACATGAATTAGCATAATTGGATGCCATGGTAAATAGAATTCTAATCAAACTTCTCCAGCAACATAGCACTAAATGATTGTGATTCTCCAATCTTTGCTTCTTCGACAAAAAAATTGGTGTTATCTTCAAAAACAACACTTCCTAAGGATTTGGTACAAGTTTTCTTTACTCCTCAAATGGCTTCTCAGCTTCATCATTCATTCGAAGCAGAGCATATACAACATTCCGACACAAATAAGCTTTTTATTCAGTAAAAACTTAAGCAAGCATTTACAAATAATTTGATTCAACCGTCAAAATCGTTAAATCATAAGTTCTTTCAAAAACTAACATACTAAGCACTTATGTAAAAAGATTGGCCCAAATAAAATCTTCCAAACACACCCTGAATTGAAAAAGAGGAGGCAACCTCCAATGTACTTTGGTTAATCAGAAATTAAACCATATGGAGTTCCATAGAAGATCAAAACAGGAATCGTGCCTTCAATGGACACTCCTATGCAAATTTAAGGCACAAGATGAAAAAAATCAAAACAAATCATTAAGGTGCTCGTGCTTAAAGGACGTGAACATACCTGCCATCAGGACAATCTATTATATGCAGCATTGAATAGTTAAGATACATGTAACAATTGGCAAGATACATAAGTTGATATCCATCACTCAAAATTAAGATAGAAAAGGCATCATTAGAGTACGAGTACCAAACATGAATCTTTTAGTATACAAGGATATTCCCGCACACAAATGCAAAGATCAATTCCTCGAGGTAACTGAGATTAATTAAAGGACCTGACCTCTCCCGGCATATGGTTTTCCATACACATCAGCCATATATCAAACTCTGAACCAAATGGTTAAGTGATCCAAACATACTACTTGTGCCACACTATATTGGTGTGTCAAACACGAATTAGCATAACCAAATGCCATGACAAATGGAATTCTACTAAAATTTCACTTGCAACACACAACTAAAGAAACTGTTGCAAAAGAAATTCAATTTCCAAAGGAATAACCATTTTCAAAATCTACATTCCTACTAAGAATAAACTTTCCCTTAAAGAACTTTATGATTATCCTATATCAATATCCCTGTTGTGGCCAATGCAATGTATTTACACTTGAATATTCTCAAAAGATAGGAAGAAGATCCATCATATAGAAGGAAATATAACTGGCGTTACAAATAAAATACATACATGATGTCCTAAGAGTATGCTAATGCACCAATTCTATTTTACAACATAAAACAACTCTCTTCTAAAAACTTCACTATCCAAATATCCACCAAAAAACTTGAGCTATTGTAATTTAAAACTATCGCCATAAGACAAAATAATCACCTAAAAAGTACTGCCATTCACCTGAATTACAACCCAAATCATTAGAGAAAATTAAAGCAGGGCATAGTAACAGCGCTTTGTCAAGAAAAACAAAACAAGATGAGTAACAAAACCTCTTTAGAAAAAGCATGTGATTGAGATTATCAAATCTTTGCTTCTATCCCTCCCTTCACAAGCTTGTTCGACAAAATCTTTGTAGTTGTTTAGTTATTGGCTTGCATTTTTGGTAAAACCAGGTGTGTGTGTGTGTGTGTGTGTGAATGTCATGACTGATGTCATAACATTCTAGTTTAGTATGTACTGATTCATTAGGTACCTTTGCAGAAAAATATTGTCATACAGGTGCTGCTGTTTATAAGTGTGTATCTGAGCATTTTGCAAAAAGATCACATTTACCTAAATCAGTAGACAGGTTTTTCTGATGTCATAACAAATGTTAAGACATCCTGTTCTGAACTAACAGTTATGCAGTTTGGGTAATTCTGAGTTTTTTCAGGATTATGACTCAGTCTTTCCAGAACAGAAAATCTCGTGGACTTGGGGTTAACCTAGCTCAACCCTAACCTGGTTGATAAAGTCCTGTGACCTAGTCTTAAGGTCAAACGGAATTAACCCTAGCTTTTTGTGGAAACCCTAACTGAAGATGCAGCTGCTATATATTCAACAGAGCTGCTGTTTTGAAATGAATCCCTTTTTGACAGAAGATCATTTAGAAGCTGTATAGTTTTAACTATTGTAATCCAAGCAATTATCATTGTGATAAGTGACTTGGAATAGGTTTTAATTGTAAGGGTTGTGTATCACTCAAAGCTTTGAAGCAAGAGTGTTTGTATGTCTCTTGACTAAAGTTTTGAAGCAAAGTCAAGTTAGGTTTGTGTATCACTCAAAGCTGTGAAGCAAGAGTGTTTGTGTTGCTTGATTAAAAAGCTGTGAAGCATAATCAAGTGTATGTTTTGAAGAGTGTCTTCATCAATTCATTAGTCAAATTGTTTTATGTATCACTGCTGTGATTGAGGGGGAGTGAGTAGGAACTCAGGTTTAAGTTGTACTTAGATTGAAGTTGCATTGGGTAGGTCTTTAGTGAAGGAGATAAACTGGTTGGTTTATTCCTGAATTAATATCTCTTATAGTGGATTTCCTCCCTGGCTTGGTAGCCCCCAGAGTAGGTGTTGTTGCACACTGAACTGGGTAAACAATTGACTGTGTTCTTTACTGTTTTTATATTTACTGTCTTATAGAAAGTCAGATACGGTGTCATAACATTGAACGTGACATTGAGTATCTGCAGCCAGAATTTCAATCTTAGTGTTATCCACAAAATACTCTTTATAAGGATGATTCTCTGGAACAAGTTTTCTATATTCTCAAACTGTTTCTCAGCTTCATCATTCTTTCTAAGCAGAGGATAAACAAGGCCTCGACACAAATAAGGTCTAAAATCACTCGGTTCTTCTTTGACAATTTCCTTATACACCCTGAATAATCCTCTTCCATGACTTTCACCTGAGCAATCAAAAGCTTAAATTCTCTAGCTTCTGAGTCCATTTTTTTCTCCTCGAAAAACTTCACCGCTTCATCAACCCTATTGAAAAATCCCTCCATTGGCTCCTTCAATTCCAAATTTTCCATCAAAAGACCACTATAAGCTTTAGCATTCAACGGATCTTGCTTCATAGTGAGTTCAAATCCTTCCTTAGCCAATTCATGTTCCTCATTGTAACTATGCAAGTGTGCCTTCAGCAATAGTAATTCAAATTCCTCCGGTTCGAGTTCAATTAAATGGTCCACGGCGTGGATTGCTTCGCTGAGTTTTGGTGCTCTCACTTCGCTGAGTTTTGGCGCTCTCACTTTTTCCTCCGCGAGTGACCTAAGTGTGTCTGTTGTTGGAAGTTTTGATCAGGATTTCATCGATTGGAATATCGTTTTCTTTAGTGGATAAAGTCTCTGCCGTTGTGGTGGTGGTAGTGGTTGCAGTGGAAGATTCGGCTGGAGGAGGTGGAAGTGGTGACGTGGTGGTGGTTGGATTTTATTGAATGCGAAATAAGAAACATGCGATAACTGCTATTGCGACATAAGGGGGTTCAAAGAGAGGTGAGAAAGAGGGGTTTAGGGTTTTGAGTAATTGGGAAAAAGGGTTTTGGGGTATTTGGAAATGATAGTTATTTTTTGGCGAGGGGGGAGGATGAGGATGACGAGGCTTTAATGAGATATGACATCATCATTCAAGTACTTGTACATTACCTTCCTGATTGCCTCCTCTGTTTGAACTTTTGTTTTTTTTATCAAATCCTTAGTTTGTATTTTGGTTGACCAGAAATTAAACCCTATGGAGTTCCATAGAAGATCAAAACAGGAATTTTGCACTTCAATGTACACTCCTATGCAAATTTAAGTAACAAGACGAGAAAAATCAAAACAAATCATCTAATGTGCTCATGCTTATAGGACATTACCATATCTGACATCAATACAATCGACAATATGCAGCATTGTGTAGTTTAGATATATGTAGCACAATCTACAAGATAGATAAGTTAATATCCATTACTCAAAGTTGAGATAGAAAATGCATTATTATTAGAGTACCAAACCGTATTTTAAGTAGCTTGCGGCTAAAGAGCTATACCATAGAAGAATTGAGCAAATTATTATTGTTCGGCTATATACTACTAAGTACAAAATATTGTCAAAAAATGGCTTTATAACACTGCTGCAAAGCGGAATTTGAATGAACGTTATTTTGTTGCAATCCACAAATCACAATTAAAAATAATGTATCAAATATGAATAGCATAATTGGCTACAGTGGAAAATAGATTTCTAATAAAACTTCTCCAGCAACACACCACCAAAGGTATAAATGCAAAGCAAATTAAAATTTCAATGTAAATCCTAGTCACTTTCCATGGGGTTTTCCGGTATTTAACTCTCCGGTGTACCAAAATATACCGATCAAGAATGAACTCAATTTTCAAAATCTACATTTTTACTAAGAATTTTTTCTGATATAGACCATTATGATTATCCTATATCAATATGAAAATAGTGATCAATGAAATGTGTTCACACTTGAATACTTCTCAAAGGATAGGAAGAAGATCCAACATAGAAGGAAATATTACCGGCATTGCAATGAAAATACTTACATGATTCCTGAAATGAAATTAGACTAATACTAATATACCAATTCTATTTTACAATATTGAAAGAAAAAAAAACTGTTGTAAAACCTTCACTATCCATATATCCACCAAAAATTCGATCCACCTAATTTCAAACAATCACATGAAACAATATAATCATCTAAAACAGAACTATCATTCACCTGAACTAAAACCCAAATCATTAGAAAAAACTAAAGCATGGCATAGTAACATAAGTTTAGCAAGCAAAACAAAAACAAGATAAGTGACAAAACCTCTCTATAGAAACAGCAAATGATTTTCATTCTGAAACCTTTGCTTCTATTCCTCCTTTCTCAAGCTTCTTGGACAAAATCTGAGTGTTATCCTCAAAAATCTCTTTATAGGGATGATTCTCTGGAACAAGTTTCCTATACTCCTCAAACTGTTTCTCAGCTTCATCATTCTTCCTAAGCAAAGTATACACAACACCCCGACACAAATAAGGTCTAAAATCACTCGGTTCTTCCTTCACAATCTCCTCATACACCTTCAACGCAGCAGAATAATCCTCTTGCATCACTTTCACCTGCGCAATCAAAAGCTTAAACTCCCTCGCTTCGGACTCCATCTTTTCCTCCTGGAAAAAGCTCACTACTTCATCAACCCTATTCAAAAAACCCTCCAACGGCTCCTTCAATTCCAAACTCGCCATCAAAAGACCACGATAAGCCTCGGAATTCAACGGATCACGATCCAAAGTAAGTTCAAACCCGCTCTTAGCCAATTCGTGTTCCCCGTTGTAACTATGCAAATGTGCTTTCAGTAACTGTAAACCAAATTCCTCCGGTTGGAGTTGAATTAATCGGTCAACAACGCGAATCGCTTCCCCAAGTCGTTTCGCTTTCACTTTCTCCTCCGCGAGTGAGCGGAGAGCTTTTACATCGCTACAAGTTTCAATCAGGATGTCATCGATTAGATGATTATTTTCGGATAAATTCTCGACAGTTGTGGCTGTGGCTGTGGCAGTGGCAGTTGAAGGTTCTTCTAGAGGAGGTGGAAGTGGTAATGTGGCGGTGGAAGATTGGGCTGGAGGAGGCGGAAGTGATGATGTTACGGTGGCAGGATTTTGTTGAGTGCGAAACAAGAAGAATGCGAGAAGTGCTACTGCGACGTAAGCGGGTTCGAAGAGAGGTGAGTAAAAGGGGTTTAGGGTTTTGAGTAATTGTGAAAAAGGGTTTTGGGGTTTTGGTGAGGGGGAGGAAGAGGAGGATGAGGCTTTGATGGATGGTAATAATAAGGGGGGAGAAGAGAATTGGTGTAAAGGTAGAGATGGGAATGAGAGTGTTGAGAAAGGTCTTGAAAATGGAGAATGGCGGTGAGTGAAGGAGAAGTGATGAAAGTGGAGTGTATTTGGGAGAGAATTCATGGCTAAGGTTGAGTGTTTCGGGAAAAAAAGATATTGTATACTCGTTCTGGCTAAGTTGGACTTGTATGTCGCTTGTAACGGTGTCGTTTTACTTCTTTCATTTTTTTTTTTTCTTTGAGAAAAACTTTTTTTTTAAGACTCACTTGTATCAAACGAAATTTTTTTATATGAAATTTTAATTTAAGAAGCAAAAGTTCGTTCATAGCGTAGAACATCTATATTTATGATTATGTTTTATTGGTGGAAGGGAAAAAAATAATAATTATCATGAATATTTATGCAGAGCATGTGATACTAGAAGAAAATAAGAATTATGGATTGGTCTAGCATCTTGAATTAATGAGAAAATTGGGGGAAACAGTGTGTGTTAGGAGATTTTAATGCTATCAAGTTTGAAGAAGAAAGAAAAGGAACGTCACAAAACATCGAAAGAGAGGAATTAGAATAATTCGACGATTTATTTCATATTTAGATATAATTGACATGCTTTTTCATGGTAGGAAGTTCACGTGATCAGGGTTAGGTGATGCATCAATGACTTGTCTGGACTAATTTCTTATTTCAGAAGAATGGTACAGAAAGTGGCTTATATGCACTTAGCGGACACTAGACAATGGACTATCAGAACATTGCCCCATTTTGCTTGGTGCTTGAGTGCAAATTTGGGGTATGAAACCTTTCTGCATGCTAAGTAGTTGGAATAAGATGGAAGGATACCATAACTTCATTAAACAATACTAGATGAAATCTGAAAGTTAGGGGGATGTACGTCTCGAAGGAAAATTTGAAGTTGATTAAGACCAAACTAAAAGAATGACACAAATATCACACTCAAAACTTGGAAGGTAAGATCAAAAGTGCAAAAGAAGAGCTCAATAATCTTGAAATCTAAAGCGAGTCAACAATCTTGTCAACAATGGAGATAAACCATAGATGTAATATCATAATTCCCCCCATATATAATATAAATATCAGAGTAAATTAAAACAAATTAAACATTTAGGATGTCACATTCTTTCATTCAACATACTCATGCAACATGATACGTAACACATATTAAAACAAGAATCACATATTTTTCATGTCTGAATTTCAATGACTTTATTAGCAGCGGAAAAACTTCAGCAACAATTATTCTTAACTCTTCAACATGAATTATAATCATAATAATCCCAAAATTTAACATAAATTATCAAATAAATCCAACAATTGATGTTACACATAAGTCTACTCCCAACATAAACAAAACAAATGTTATTTCCCTGGTGTTATGTATCAGAGCAGACATTGACTCAATCTACGTAATACGAGGCAATCTCTTCGGCTAACCTCGATTCTGAGCTACTCTTGAGTATTTGTACGATGCTGTATAAAACGTCATTTCAACAGAAGGGTGAGATATTACAACAATATAAGAGAATGTATAATAATAAGTATACAACAATTATGATTACACATAATCATACATTCCACATCTCACTTTCACATAATCGACAACAACTATACAACATATTGCTTATACAATCACACATAATCATCCACACACCGTAACCATCATCATGTAGTACATACATCAATCACACAACTCAAACATCATGTTAACAACAATGCAAAGCAATGAGACCGACTCACAGACTCAATGTATGTGGTACCAATATCACTCTTGCATCCACGCCATCTAAGATCAGAGCCACCAGTATCATGAACAATTTAGTTCACATCGCTCCCGATCCACGCCGTCTAGGATCAGATCCAACCAACATCATGAACAATTAGGTTCATATCACTTCCGATCCATGCCATCTAGGATCAGAGCCAACAAACAGGACTAAAGTCTACAACATGAAATGCATATTGTTGTACCCCAAAATTTTCCCTCTCATTTTATCAAGATTTCCCCTCACAAGATTCTTTGGACTCCATACAGGATTAGGGTTTGCTCTGATCAAGACATCTCCTTGCATTGTTGACCTGAAATTAGGGTTTGAGTTTGCACAGGGATTTTTGGACTTTCAATGCCTAATGTGACTTTCATACTTCATGTTGGACTTATAAGATTGTCCATACCAAGTTTCAAGCCTTGAATCAAATTTTTGCCCGGTCAATTGGACAGTTGACCTAAAAATCAGCTATATTGGGGAAAAAGTCAATTATGGCTAATTTACAGTCAAACCTCATAATTTTTTATCCACATCAACATTATAGACTCATATGAACCATTTGATCAAGTTTGGACCACAACTCCTCAAGAAATTTGATCAGATCATCAAAAGGGCAAAATGGTCATTTTTAGGGTTTTGACTGCAGAAGGGCAATTTATGATTTTTCACCTAGCCAATGGCAAATTGGGTTCAAGCATGGATTTAAGGACTCAATGGCATCATCTTGACCTAATCACAAGGTTCAAAAGATCTCAATTGCATTGGATTGACAGATGAATTTTCCAATCAACTGATCAAAAATCAACTGTACAATGAAAAGTCAAACTTTGACTTTTTGGTCAAAACCAAGTGCCAAGGGTCATTTTTCATCAAGATATGTCAAAACATGAAACTTGTTCACCAAGAAACCTAATTTTGAAAATTAGGGTTTAAAATGGAAAATTTGCATAACTTAGAAATTTTCTAAGATGAAAATTTCTTATTTTTTCCCAACTTTGCCCAACTTTTTCACCATGATGCATTTGGATTCAAACAAAACTTCCAACATGAAAGTTGTATTCCTCCATGAAATCTACAACTTTGATTCACAAAGTTTTCCTAAATAATTCTTGGATCTCAAGTTATGATTTTGTGAACAAGGGTCCATGAAACTTTTAACTTAGTGAAATTTTGCCCTAGTTTAGGCAGGATTTTGACCTATCTTCATGGCAATTTTTCACATAGTTACAAGTGGAATATCAAAATTAATTTCAAATATGGGTTGTATAGCATGTTACAAGTTTTCCAAAATGTCCAAGAACTCTCCAAAATCATTTGTGATTAGGGAGAATCGAAAGTTTGAAAATGGCAAATCATCACTTTTGTCCAAGGCATTTTGCACATTGCTACAAGTTGTAAATCTTCCCAAAGCATGATTGTACTTGGTTTACAGGTTCTAAACCTTTATACACTCATAAATTAAATGCAAACACATTGGATTAAGGCTTTGTTCTGAGCTTTAGAACATTACACATTGAATTAATCCATTTTTGGCAAAAAGATAACAATGCCATTTTGATAAAGGTCACCTTTTACAATTTTGTTTGTCTTGAGGCATGGACCTGATTTCTTTATGCAAACAAAGTTCACTAATATCAGGAAAGGTATACCAACTATGTGCATCTAGAGTACAAGCCTGTATAGGCCTTAGCATTGTCAACTCCACCTTTTACTTCAAAAACAAGCAAGTGTGCAAAAACTCCATAACTTTGCAATCTGATATAACCAAGTGTGGTATTCATTTCAAACAAGTTTTACACATTACACTAAGCCAGAAACACAAGTCCTAAGCCTCTCAAACACCCTCTAACATTAAAACACCAAGTTCTTGTCAAAACAGGGCAGGTTCTGCAGTTTGACTTCCAAAACCAAATCCACTCGTGTGTTTTGCTTACAACCAGTTCCAACACACTCCATACAACATACCTAAGTTATCCCAACCATTCCCAAGTCACTGTAACTCCATTTACACACTTCACCATTTTTGAATTCTGAGTTTGCAGGTTGACTTCTACAAGCATATTCAGGCAAGTTCAAAGCAAACTAAGCATTGGGAAAGCTCAAAGGAACTTCAAGCAAGCTCACAAGTATCTCAGGCCTCACTCACAACCCCTACATTGCCATACTCGAGCTTGACTGAAACAGGTATTTCATAAACTTCTATCTCCTTATTTAGGAATCATTAGGCTTAGGTTTGTGAAACAAAAATATAGTCCTCATTGCCCTTGAGTTGTACATATGCATAGAATTCATTTATGTTAACTTAGCTAGGAGAATTTGGATGTTGAACTTTTTGAAAAAACTAGGTCAAGATTTAGGGCCAATGAAATTCTCTCTTGTCTTTGAGAGTTAGGTCAAGTTTTTTACATGGTTAGAATCATGTGATCAAGAGCTATAACTCTCATGTTGCAAGTTTTTGTTTTTGAGCACGTATGCAGGAGAACAGGATTTGAACTATGGCGCGCGCGCGTTTGTCCAAGGTCAGGGATGAAGTGTGATATTGGGATGGGTCTGGTTGTTCCTTCCTATTGACACCCCCTTGCTTGCTTTCTGCACCCCCTGGCCCATTTCTCTTATTTTTTATATTTTTTCATTTATTTCATATTTTCTGATTTTTTTTTTTTCTAAATATAAAAAATCACCAAAAATATTTTCTTAAATTTTCACATTTTATTTTATTATTTTTATTATTTTTTTGGACATAGAAATAATTACTATAATAATATACTTTTATTTTCTTAAATAAAAAGTTATAAATATTATAAAAAATATTATATATTTTTATTTTTATTATTTATACATATAAAATATTTTTTAATATTTTTGTGAATATTTTTTATTTATTTACTTTGTATATAAATGGATAAATAATATATATATATATATATATATATATATATATATATATATATATATATATATATATATATATATATATATATATATATATATATATATATATATATATATATATATATATATATATATATATATATATATATTCTAAAACAAAACTAGGGTTTCCACCCTTTCCAAAAAAAATAACCATTAATATTTTTAATATTTTTAGGATATTAAATAATTTATTTTTACATACATAAAAATAATACAAAAACATTTTGCATATTTATATTTAATTGCACATTTAAATATTTGTCAATTTATTATTTATACAATGAATTCAATTTGGTTGTAATAGTTGAATTAGGATTTTATTTTCTTGCAAATACCCCCTTATTCAAACTTGTATCCCCCTCCCCATAATAATGTTGTAATAATATTAGATTTACTTTTACGCAC